ACATATTTTTGGTCATATATAATCCTTGTATAAATGCAGCCCTAGATGTTTGGAAAAACTTAAAAATAATGTTTATATCCAATATATCCTTGCTTGCATCTTTTATGTTTACCAAAGATGTTAAGACTAGAAGACAACTATCTAACTGGATAAATAATGATGCAATTACATATAAAGGGATTGTAGATAATGATAATTGCAAAATAACCCAAATGGGTCTAATCCCCACAATGGTTTCAATAGAGACAACTGAGGAGTAATGTAGATGAAAATATAAGAGGGAATAAGATGGCAGGAGTACTGTCAAGTTTTGAGGAAATAATTTATAAGAAGGAAAATCTAAAAGAGGTTCAATCTAAAATATATGTTTTTCTGAATACTTCGCAATCACATTTGGTTCTAACTTTAAGGGAAAATGGGGAAAAAATAGGTAGACCAATTTCTGAACAGGGATGGGAATTTCTTTTTAAACTGAGGCATGAACATGATCTCTTTGTGCTAACATTAGAGAAAATCATTACAAACGGCTCTATCAATGCTATGTGACTCCACACAGATTGAGTTAAATTTACAATGTCTGTGATGGAGTCTTGGAGATGTGGACATTTGAAGGTGGATATGGAAAATATCTGGCGGACATGTGAAAAAAAAGTTTTTTTCGGACAGAAGAAAAAAGGAAAAAACAGAAGACAGAAATATATAGAATAAGCAATAAAATGTTACAGACTGAGAATATAAATCAGCTGGAAATATTTTTCTTTCCCACAAATAAAGTTGTTAAAGGAGAATAATCACTTGCATTCCACCCAAGGGCAATATCTCATTCCTCTTTGGTAACAGTAGTTGGAATGTGCAAATATTCTATTCCGCTGTCTCATGGAGGAACTTTGTCCTCTTCAAGCTCTGCAAAATTTCAGCCAAGCTTTGGTAAAACATCGTGTGCCCAAATTCACTTATAAGGAAAAGAAAGTTTTCCAAACTGTTGAGAGACAGAGAAATTCCATATTCATGGCTGTATATAACATCCTGCCTACGTCCAACTGTCCAACTGTGAACATTTTAGTGCTCCATAGAATCACCGTTTTAGAACATGATAGCTCAAGAAAGCTCTATGAATGTAGAGTAAAGTAAATTTCTGGGTCAATGGTTAAGAGAACAGAGCAGATCATGAAAATACAGAAGTTAGTAATTCCTAGGCCACATGTACCACCACCACTGTGGTGAGGTTTCAGTGGAATATAAAGAAAACTTATAATGATGCTGCAAGCTATTGGCTGGCCTGACCACATATGGCTCACTCTTGATGTAAGCATACAATGCTTGTATGATGGAACATTTAATCATTTACCTCCCTGAAAGAACTGGGTTTGAACAGTTATGCAGACTAGATGACCGTAATGCACTTTGCATGGAGCTGCCCTTTACAACTACAAGTGGTAAAACATGTGGCTATCTCGACGCCGTTAACTGGAGTGGATTGTAGAGAGCTTATGAGGACAATCCTGAAACATCTGCTTTGACTACCAGTTAGTCTACAGACCCAGTTCAAGGTGCTGTCTTTAGCTTTTAGAGCCGTGAATGCCCTGGGTTCAGTGTGTGTACACGTGCATGAAGTTCTTTGTGTGACTGAGAACCTTGTAGGCTCTTCATTGGCTGAAATGAGCCCTAGGAGTGTGCAAATGTGTGCACACACAAAAATGAATGTGTGTGGGCTGGAGGCTAAGCTTACCACTGTGATGTCCTCCTCGCCTACACCTGTTAATTCCACAATCTTAGAATGATTGAAAGGGACGTTTCTTTCTTCATTTCTTTCTTGGCACTATTTTAGGGAGGGAACACAAATTATTATTATTTCCTTGATAATCATTATAATTACAAGAACTGTGTTAAGTTTCGAAAAGTTTTTTTTCAAGTGGATGGAATGCATAATTATACAGGAACAGCAATTATCTTTAATTAACTTTCTTTTATTTTAAAACGCTTGGAGAATTTTCCAGTGGGTTGCAAGGTTTGCATTGGGGGCTTGGTTGAAAGGCTGTTTGATTAAACTGATGTATGTGTGTGCGTGTGCCATGGCACCTGAGCAGACTCTGTATCAAATGTTGATAATGGAATATGGAACATTGTGGGGGAAATGGCTTTAATAGTCAAGAAATTCAGACTTACAGAAAAGAATAATAAAAAACAAATTTAGTTTAAGACTAATTAAATGAGCACTTCTAATAGACAATTTGGTCTTAATGTAGTTTCCTTCAGTATAGCTTGCTCTTTGAACTGTTGAAAGTTGCTTGGAGACCTTTTTGTGTTACAAGAGACTAATAAGTTTCACAAACAAACAAACAAATACTGACGCCATACTAGTGTTTACAGTCCAAGTTGCGGTTCAGGATTGTTAATTCCCTGGTATTTATTCACTCTGCCCTTCCTCCTGCCAGAGCCCAAGGCAGCCAACAATATGAAAACACCATTTAACACTATTTAAAATCACAGCAAACCAATAACAACATTAAAGACACAGCATCAGGCTGTAAAAATGTCGCTGTTCAAATATACAGCTAGCCACCAAGAGCCTAGCAAAATTAATAGGTTTTATGGTAGTGTCTAAACACTGATAACATGAGAGATAATCTGCCACCCTCATTTGATCCAGATTGGATCCCCTGCGCAAGGAATTTCATGTAAAAATACCTTGCACTTAAAGCAGGGTGAGCCAAAATGGTGTCCTGCAGATGTTGTTGGACTCCCTTCAGCTCCAGCCACCATGACCTATGGCCAGAGATGGGAGTTAGTTCAGCAACTCCTGGAGGAAACCACATTGGCTATCCCTGACCTAGGCTGCATCTGCACTATACATTTAAAGCACTATTGTATCACTTTAATTAAAAACAGTTATAGTTTCCCCCAAAGAATCTTGAGAACTATAGTTTTGTTAAGGGTGCTCAGGGTTGTTAGGATACTTCTATTCCCTTCACGGAGCTACAATTTCCAGAGTTCCCTAGAAGAGAGATTGATTGTTAAACTGTCTGGAAATTGCAGTGATTCTGAGCATCACCTTTCACCTATAAATGTTAAGATGGAGACAAAAGTTCCCACATTAATCTTATGCCGGTGTAAGAGTAGTGTCAGAGTATTAATATGGGAATAGGTCAAGAAAAATGAATAAGCATGAGAGAGTGCTGGGGGTGCCAGTTACAAAATGGCTGCCATGGTGGGCGGCATAACATATGTAGTGTATAATAATGAAGTTTCTCCCATGACTGCTTTTCCATATGAGAAAAGGCTTAATCTGTTGAATTTTGCCAAGGAAATAAGACACAAGCAGGAAAAGTGCATTAACTGGGAAACAGCACTCTTTAGGACTCTAGCAACCCCTGTCTCATTCACCAATCACAGCTCCAGCTTCTGTCATTGGCTAAAAACATTGACAGACAGGAGCAGCTAGGCTCGCTCATTTTGCAGAAATCACTCAGAAGCGTAGGTAGCATGCACATTTTGCTTCATAACTTTCTTTCTAGGAGCGCCGTAAGAGTCTGGATGACTAGAGACATCACTTGTACCACTGTACAAGCAGTGGGTTGGCAGTCCCAGGCCTAACTGAATAAGAAAGGAAGAGGTAAAAGCAAAATGCTATGGCAAAGGCCTTAAGCTTTCTTAGAAGATGTCTTTGGAATTCTCAGCAGTCAAGGCTTGGCTGCTTTCCCCACAGTGGATATAATGTGTAATCAGGATTTTTGGATGTAGCCCTGAGCCCACATAGTTCTGAGTACAAATGTATACTTGTCAGGCTGCTATTTGTGCAAAATTTCATACAATCCATGTGACTGAAAAAGAAATTGGGAAATCTGAATGCATGATTGTAATGTTTTTTAAAAACTTTATATGACATCAAAATAATGAATGGCTTGTGGGCAAACGACTGAGCTGAAGCTATCGATGAAGCTACTGAGGAGTGGAATAGCTAAAGGTTCATTTTCTTTCTGTTCAACATTTAAATTGCTCCAATCTTATGGCACTAACTCCAAGTAGTGGTGTTTTCTGTAGAGAGAACCAATCTTTAAAATGCAGAAGCAAAACTCAAAGGGGAAACCATTGAAGGATTCTCTCTTAAAAAAAGATTTTTAAAAATTGTTTTCATTTTTGCAATGAAAACAATTAACAATGATCAAAATACAAAATACACATTTAATCTTTACCTCCCTCCAGCCCTTCCGTGGTTCACTTCATTATTTTCCCCCCCACTACATATTCTAATTATTCCTAATATTTTCACTTTCTTGGTTTTATATCCCAGTAATTGTTACTGCTGAATTTACTGTATTACTGTTAAGTTTTTAATATGCTTACAATAATTTTTCAGATAATCTACAAAACATTTCCAATCTTCTTTCAGTACTTTTTCCTCTTGATCTCTTATGCTGTTTGTCAATCTTGCCATTTCTGCATACTCTATCCATTTCACCTGCCATTCTTCCTTTATTGGTATTGTGCCCTCTTTCCACCACAGAAGGATTCTCAATCCCATCAAGTCATATGCCTGAAAATGAGGGGGGCAGAACAGAGACTGGAGATGCGCAGGAGCAGTATGAAACTTCTTGGGAAACATCTGGGAGAGGAAGAGCCATAGGGGTGGAAAGCAGGGACCTTCAGCCCTGGCAACTACTCTATAGGGGCAAAACCAACTGCAAAGTGTTGCTGAGTTGTATGCTGTTTCCTTGAATAAAGAGTTAACTTCACTGATGACTGACTCTGCCTCTTCATTGTGACCTGCAGAAAATATTTTTTTTTTGGGGGGGGCTTAAATATTTTATTGGGGGCCCGAAGGGACTACGACCCCATAGAATTGGCACCTATGCCCTGAAGGAGGTGCACGGGCTACCTCAGAGACACAGAGGGAGCTACCTTACTGCCTAATTCTGGGGCCGGTCCTGGGCTTCCATCTGTCAAATCCTGAACACAGCAGACAGCTAGATGCTTACTGGAGGCTACTCCATTTCTGTCCAAATGTGTGTGTGTGTGTGTGTGTGTGTGTGCGCGCGCACACACACACACACACACACACACATTTTTCAGGGAAACAAAAGACAAAGGCATTATTTCTACTATTACTGGGAGTTAACCATTAATTGCTAGTAACTTAGCAGTTCTGATGTAAAGCATCATTAATAGCTGTAAACAGCTTCAAGGCTTTTTGCAGAAGCGTCTCACCCCTTTTAATACTGAAATGTGATGGTTTTCTTCTTTAAAATCTAGCCCCTAGTTTTAATTAAATATTTTCCTACACGAAACCAAGCCAAATGTCGCATCAGTACAGATGGCTCCTGGAAGTTACAGTACAGAGTATTTAAAGGTGCATGAAGGAAAGTTCAACAAAATGAATTGAACATTCTTGAGAATACTTAGCTAGGCAAAAGAGTTTTTCCAAGATTTTCTGCTATAAAATAAATGGCTTTCTTTTGTAGATAGTGATAAGCGTAGAGGTTATTATTTTTCACCTCCATTTTAAGGCTTTATTGAAAAACAGCTTTTCGGCTGTGTTAGGATGAGCATGATAGTATGACACACTGATATGCCCAATTGTAGCATCTCAAATTAGGAATGAATTCTTTGAAACTGCTGTTTCATTAGTTTGAGCCTCCAATTCAGTGTGGTCACTGCCTGCCCCTCCCCTAAAGGTGAAAGCAAAGAAAACCTGTAACTACTTTCTCTATACAAGGTAGCAAACCCAATTAAAAAACTTTTAATGGGATCTGGGACATATCTGTACATTCCATTCACCCAGTTTGGAAATGGTTCATTTGCCCAAAACATGTGAACATGGACTAACACAGGACTCACTGTAATGGCGCCTGTGAGTGCCAGTGTGCCTATCAGTACCTATGAAAGGTCTCAGAAGATTGTGAGATTTGACCAGCTCCGGCCCATCTGGAGCTGGTACAGGCTCGTCTTATCTTGAGCCCAAGCAGAGTGTAGTCCTGCAACGAAAGGATAAGCAGGTAATGTGCTACATGCTGAAGTTTATTTACAAGCTATGCTGAGAGCATACAAACATACATCTTGCCTCTGTGAGAGCAGAGAAGCAACTCCTCTCGACACAAAGAAACCGAGAGAACACACTGAAAAAACAGGAAACCAGTGTACGTCACATCCAGTCTCCCATTCCCGTGGGAACCCAACAGTAACTCTGACTGTGGAATGCAAACAATGTCTTGTGACATGCAGTTGCTGCTCAGTGAGGGAAATAGAAACCAACAAAGATATCTCCTCAAAAATTTACAATGCACAAGAGATTGTTAATAGTATACTAAGCTAGAAAAAGCTCTCTCTAAGCTCGTTTTTCTGGGTTGGTCAAATGTAGGTGATGAGCTATGTAAAATCTCCAAGTGAGAAAACAAGCAAAACTTTCCTTCTCCTTTTCCTTTTTAGAGAGAGGTGATAGGAGGGCAAGAATGGTTAAATGTTCTGCATACTCAATTTGTGAGTAGTCAGATTTGATGTTTACATTAGACCCCATTACATGTTCTCAGACAATCATCTATTATTTTCTTAAAATGCAGTTGCTAGATTTCTGAGGAAAGTAAGAAGGGAGCCTTACTAGATGCACTTGTGCTGTTCACTAAAATAAATTAAAATGGTTTGTGGGCAACTCTCAAGAGGAATGCAGGGGGCTAAATTTGGTAGTCAATCAATTGGTTGTTTCATGTCATATTTCGACACAAAAGAGTAACAGTTTTACCAATAAAATGTGTTAGCTGTTTAAAACTCATATACTGGTTCATTAATATAAAGGCTAGTTCAGATCAATATTTCATTTGGGATTTATATGACATTAGAAGTTTACTGGAATGAGAAGGACAAGCTAGCTTTACAGAGCAGGCAAAACACCCTTTCTCACCGTCTGTGGGTAAGTGACAATCTGAACAGGAAAGCAAAATCTTCTAACTGAGCACACTGAGGGGGTGGGAATGGGAGTGGAATACATCCCAGGGTGTCCATCTTGTTTCTTCATCTTGTTCAGTATCTAATAACAATAAATCACACCTTCAGAAATGGGGTCTTCACTTTCTCCAAGGAACTCAAGGTTTCAAATGATGAGGGTTATATATTTGTTTGTTTGTTTTTTAATTAAAAACATCTCTAAACTGCTTAATTTTTTAAAAAAATCTAAACAGCATATACACTGTGTATAATCTAAAAAACAATATCAATTCAAACAAAAAATACATTCTAAAACCAATAAACCAATATAAAAGCAAGAAAAACAGAGATTCAGAGGATTCATCTTTATTAGCGGATAAATCCTGTGAGGTAAATCAGGTAGAGAGAGGTTTTCCCAGACCTACTCAGTGCATTTCCTGGGTGAGCTGAGATCTAAACCCAGGTTTTCCCAATCCAACACCCTGTCCAATATAATGCATTGTGGGCCTTTATTTTATCTGTGCCATTGTGGGGCCCTATTTTATCTGGGTGTCTACTTCAGGGTTGGAGAACCAGTGGGCCACCAAATAGTATTAGACTCCCAACTCCCTTCAGCCCCAATTGACAGGATTGTGGGAGCTGTAGTCAGCAATATTTGGGTGGACACAAATTTCCACCCTGCTATCACCATGTCACAGTGCACAGCTCTTGCTTCTCAGCTCATCTGATGTCACTGGAGACCAGTAATAAGTAAATTAATTAATTCACATTCAGATCCATATCTTCCAGTCCCATTTCCTTTTGATTGTGGTTTTCCATCCCCAAAATAATAATAAATGGCTTCCAATTCCTCTCCCCCCATTTTTTTTCTAAAAGTGTTGCCAGAAGCTTAGTGACATTTCCCTCCAATTTCACTACAAATTGCATGTAGAGTCCTTTTTTCTCAGCTCTGTCTTTGCTAGCTCAGGATATTTCTTAATCTCTCCATCAAGGGTTTCATTCCACTCCTCTAACATCATGACTCCACCATTTGGCTGTTTCACTCCTCGAAGCACTTGTGTGGAGGTCTTCTCCATTTCATCATCTACTGCGTCCAGCTTTATTATTCTACTCTCCTGTTCTTGCAACCCTCCATCAATCTTTCCCCCCAAAGGCTCTGTGTGTTCTCCAACCACAGCTTTGCACAGTTCATTTTTATTCACCATTTTATGCATCTCCACTCTGAGTTGTTCATTCAGTTGTTGATTTCAGTTGTTCATTCAGTAGTTGCTGCATGATGCCAACAGTCATATATACAATAAGTAAATAACTATGGATTGTTGTTTTAATATATGACCACAGCAAAGAGACTGCTGTGGGAATAAAGATCAAGGATTTATTGTTTCTCATTATCGGAGGTAAAGTTGTTATGTTGGACTGGAGGAAGACCATTGTTGACTTTTATTGATAATTGGAGAACATCTTTTAACTTTTTGTGTGGAAGGAAAAATGAATGAACTTGAGATTCCCAGACATGAAGACTGGAAAAACAATGCCTAGCAGAAGGAAGAACAGCTGCATACCACTCTGGAATGAACATTTTGAATACTTTGAATAACTCTTGTACATACAACTGATAGACGGAGAATTGGAGGTCCCTTTTATTTATTTATTTTTCCTTCCTTCCTTTTTATTTCCTTCCTTTCTTTTTATTTTCTCATTCCTTTTTATCTTTCTGTTACTTTTGCTTTTGCTTTTTTGCTTTGCTCTTGCTTCTGTTTGATTTTAAAATGTTCTGGGTCAATGAGGGGCCTGCATGCAGATGAAGGTAATGTATAGTTGGTGAAGGACCCTGTGTGAGAGGCAGGGAAGGGAAGATCTCCCAGAGTGGGAGGCTGGGAGAAGAAAGGGAAGCTCCCAGGTGAGAGCTGGGAGAGTCCACTTCTTCCCATGTGCGACAAGAGTTAAGATCTACCGTACCTGTGAGAGAGGACTTAGCATTTGCCTCCTCCTCCTCTCTGTTTTTTTTTTGTTTGTTTAGACTAGTTTGTTTTTATTGTAATGTATTGTGAAAAGTCTTAATAAAATCTTACTTAGAAAAAAAGGAGTGGCTAACCTGGTTCCCTGTAGATGTTGTGGACTGTAACTTCCATCAGCCCCAGCAATATGTGAAATGAACACTCTAACTCTGTTATCATTGCAACCACTGAAATGCAACCACTTGGCCAAAACAAAGACCACTGAGTCTGTGGGAAAGTGGCAAAGCATGACGTTGGCATGGGAAAGCTGTATTGCAGAACTGAGAAAATACTCCACAGCAACAGCGGCATCAACAGTAACTAATAAATGTACTCCTATAATTACTCTGTAGTCATTGTGAGCACTTTCAACTTTTGACTTGCACTGAATGGAGGTATTGTTCTACTCCCTTCATTAGAAATGATTGGGCACAAACAGAATTTATACAAAATGCTGTTTTTCATTTCCCCAAGTACAATGACAGCAAGACACATCTGGAAGGACTCTCTTGCCTTCACAGATGGAACTGAGCAAACACTTCACAATGAATAATTTATTCGGCAGATAAATTTAATGTTCCCAATTCGTTCATGAACAGATCATGAAATTCCTCTTTATTCAAAATTATTCATGAAGTTCTTTAGCAGATGACTTTCTGTTCGCATCTGGTGCATGAAGAGTTTGCCTCACATATTTGCAATTTGCATTTCAAACTCTCTCAGCAAAACTTAGGAAAGATTCTGTTTTCTTCCCACCTCCTGTCAGGACAGAACTAATGCAAAACCCAGGAAAAACGAAGTGTGGACACTCCTAGTGTTAGGTGTCTGAATAGTGTTCTTATATAGTTTAGTCATTCAGTGGTGCTGGTCTGAGTTGAATCGTTCTTAGTGTGAGAGAGACATTTCCTGACCGGTGTGTTCTCTAAGCCTTCCATGATGTAATAACAGAAGTCACATTTGAAGCCCACACATTCCTAACTGGACAATGGAAAGGGCACAATTCTGTTTAACAGAAGCTTTCAGCTTCTAAAATCTAGGAGTATGGCCAAAATTGAAAGAAATTTCTACTTGCTGTCACCCAGCCACAAAACAAAGTGAAAAGAGTAGAGCATATAAGTTCACTCTTTTACGTTGTGGGGAAGGAAGCTGGCA